CACGACACCAGTTTATCAGTTTTGTTGTTTTGATATGTTAATCGCGGGCTTCAATATCTGCCACAGTTTGAATGGTTGTAAACATAGGAACCTTCTCGCCGCAAAGCGAACACGGTGGATATATCCGATATCTAATCTACAAGTTTTGACCCACAGGCAGATTTTATGATTTACTCCAATGTTTATAAATTTCAATAATTTATGCTATTCAATCAATACAAAAACAATCATCGGCTTCACGAAAGCTAGACCTGGTGCAAGTCTAATCGCTTTCTGTACAAAGGATAAAGGTCAGATGAAGAGTTTCGTTGTTTATGAACAAAATGCTGATGAGCCGCCTGGGATTTGTACTCGCATGGTTTCTATTATTTTGGTTCACAGTAAGGCATATACTTTATGCTAAGCCTACTTTTGTCAGTTTGTGTTTGTGTATAAATATCTCTCTAATTTAGACACGACTTCAAAAGAAGACGGACAGAACTTACTTTAAATTTGACGGACTTTAAGGGGAAAAAAACATAATATTATGATCTTTCGACATGTTAATTCACTGAAAATGCCAGGTTGAAGAAGAACTAAATTATAATTATACCTTTATTCCATGCATATTTGACACATCGTGACATTTAAAGTATTAAAAATTGTCAGAAGTTTTACCAGAATGTGGAAACGTATAGACATTCTGAGGTTTTTACTTGGTTTTTGATAAATGGTATATTTCGGGGTTTGTCTTATACAGAATTTTGTACCAAATGAAGTTTGCTTATCGAGTTTAATTAATGCCTTTCAGTCTCAATGTTAGTGGTAAGGGTGGACTAAGGGACATAACTGCTACAGATATTCTCAAAATAGACCAGGAAGTATTCGGGTAATCGTTAACAAATTGTACACCAGTTGTGTGATCCCCGACCTGGTCAGTATGACACTGGACAGACGATTACAGTGTTTGTTATGGCTGTACATCACCACACTCCAAGGTAAGATTACTTAGATAAGGTGAAGGGAGAGCAAATATATAACAACTGGCTATAATTATAGATACCCTGCATCCGTGTCGTCCACTATATAATATAAACTCGTGTGTATTGTATGTACGTAAGCTAATGAAAGAACGATAGAGAACGTCTAGTAAATAACTTACATATACCTTCAGGGGTATGATCCTGTAATAACATGAAATACCTACGGTGGAAGTTTATTAAATAACACACATATATTTATATATACTTTAATAGTTAGATGGTATTTGCCTCAATGTTATGCTCCTATACTTTGTTTTGTTCTCGAATATGTTACTGTCTATGTCATACTAACTAATTTGAGTAAGGCAAAAGTGGCTAACTGTTGGAAACTAAGTTGGTAGTTTATACATGTATTTAATATATATATTACACTGACAGTTTTTAAAACGAAACTTAATTGATTATAACTATAGATCAAAATTGCGTATTACATCTTATATTTTGGCGACAAAGGCGTTCATTATTGATTGAATGGATTCATTAACGGTAACGCGCTTAACAGACTATGTAAGTAAGCTACTGCTATTCATTGCCGCAATGTGCATGACACAATTCATATATTTACGTTACGATTGACTACAATAAAAACAGTTTCAATACTTTTTGTAAATGTAATATTGTAAACGTTTGTAACGGATAGTAAACCATAAAAATGGAACAGCCAGACTTCCAGCCTACACACAAACTCCAAATGTTCGACTTCCGCCGATCAGACGATATAAAATAAAAGACAAGAGATTCTTCGACTTCTAACTCTTTAGAGGTTCATCAGGGGAATGGCTAATTCACATTAACATAACAACAACACAACACAGAAAGTAATGAGGTCATGGTAAATTATGACGTCACAATACAACCTACCAAAATTGACGACAAAATTAACAATGCACTTTAACCCTTTGCGTGCCGCATGCATTTTACGTCATATACCTTCGAGTGCCGCCAAGTACAGATTTGAATTTCAGTGTTGTTCTCATAATAGGATACAAGTATGACGTCATGACGTCTATTTCAACCCCATGAAGTCCTTTTTTTCTGAAATCACCTCTCCTATTTTCTTTCCCTTTTCATTTCTTTTCATCATTGTGTCATTTTTAAAAAAAAAAAAATTAATTGAAATTCAATTTCGTGACATACTAGCTACAACTCATTTTCATCTACCTAAATATCTATTTTAAATATATATAGACGTTTTAAATAATAATGTGAATCACGCCTGAAAACTTCAAATTGACCCTTTTCCCAATATAATGTACAAACCATTACAGGGTTGTTCGGTACACTGTTCAAACTTCAAAGTAAAGTATAGGCTTATTTGGAAATTATTCAAAACTAAATAAAATAAAAAACACTCTAAAATTATGATTTCTTAAACGATCGTGTGTGCATGTATAAATGTCGACAGCGTATTTTGAAAATCGCAAAAAGACAGGAAACCGGTATTTAAAGTTGTGTACTGTTGCATCGTGTGGGTGATGAACATTTCTAGGCAAGATGAACTTAAAGAAAGAATTATGTCAAACGCCTACGAATCGGTCTGGTGTTAGTTCTTTGCCAACACTAGCAATTTGAAAAATTAAATCATAGAAATTCGTACAGCAGTATTTTGAAAACTCTAAAATAACAAGATCTATCCGTTCTGTAACGAGTCCGAAAAATGTGCCTTTTCGAGAAAGAAAGTCATAATTGTCACTTTCTGATGAAATGACAAACACACTTTCACCTTTGAAAATAATATAATACATGTACATAAACGGTTGACTGTACATCGTGACGATTTAAGGACAGGACCTTACATTGTTACGAGTAGATGACGGGACTGTGCAGTGTGACAATGAAATTACGGGACTGTACAGTGTGACAATGACATTACGGGACTGTACAGTGTGACAATTACAGAACGGTACTATACACTGTGACATTTACAGAATGGTACTATACACTG